TTTCCCCCCCCCCCCCCTCCCCCCCCCCTTTAGTCTCCTACCCCTGTCCTACCCTAGCTCTCTACCCCTCCTCCTTTAGTCTCCTACCCCCTGCCTCCTCCTCTCTAGTCTCCTACCCCCTGCCTCCCCTCCCCTCCTCTCTAGTCTCCTACCCCCTGCCTCCCCTCCTCTCTAGTCTCCTACCCTCCCCCCTCCCTCCTACTTTTATTTCCCCTACCCCCTTGCCTCCCCTCCTCTCTAGTCTCCTACCCCCTGCCTCCCCTCTCTTTAGTTCCCCTACCCCCCTGCCTCCCTCCTCTCTAGTCCCCTACCCCCTGCCTCCCCTCCTCTCTAGTCTCCTACCCCCTGCCTCCTCTCCTCTCTAGTCTCCTACCCCCTGCCTCCCTCTCTCTAGTCTCCTACCCCTGCCCCCCCCTCCTCTCAAAGTCTCCTACCCCTGGCCTCCCTCCTCTCTAGTTCCTCCCCTGCCTCCCCTCCTCCTTCAGTCTCCGACCCCCTGCCTCCCCCCTCTCTATCTCCTCCCCCCTGCCTCCATCCTCTCTAGATCTCCTACCCCTGCCTCCTCTCCTCTCTATTTTTTATCCTACCCCCCCCCCTTTTTGCTCTAACCCTTCCCTCTTTTAGTCTCCCCACCCCTGCCTCCCTCCTTTCGAGTCTACCTACCCCTGCCTCCCCCCTATCTTTAGTCTCCTACCCCCTGCTCCCCATCCTCTTAGTCTCAACCCCTCCCTCCCTCTTTAGTCCCTACCCTCCTCCCTCATCTTTTAGTTCCACCCCCTGCCTCCCCTCCTCTCTAGTCCCCATACCCTCCCTCCCTCCCCTCCTCTCTAGTCTCCTGACTCTGCTCGCCGCCTGCCAATGCTTTTTGTGGTGTTTTGTCAGTGTGTGTGTGTATCTGGGGTGGTGTATCTGTGCTGGTTGAGTGGGGGGTTTTTTGTGTTTTGCGTGGTGTGGGTGTGCTGTGCGGTTACGGCTGTTGTGAGTATGCTGTGTGTGTGGAGAGTGTGTGTACTTGCGTGTTGTGTGTGAAAGTTTTAAACCTGCGCTTGTTTTTTGGGTGGTGTGTGTGGGGGTTGTGGGGATGTGTGTTGGCCCAAAGACACATCCATCCTGGTAGAGCCAGACAATTTAAGAGGTGGACCAGAGAACAGGCATCACAAAATCTTTCAACAGGGGGCCCTTATTGATCTGCGGTTTTGCACTTTAAAGGGGGGAAGGGGGTAAACCCCCCGGGGGTAAAGAAAGGGGGGAAAAGGGAAAGGGGGGGGGAAAAGGAGAGAGAGAGCAAAAGGGGGAGGGGGAGGAGGGGACGGGGGAAAAAAAGGGCAAGAAGGGGATGGGGAGAAAGAGAGAAAAGAGGGAGGGAGGAGAGAGAAAAGGGGGAAAAAGGGGGGAGAGAGAGGGGGGAAATTGAGGAAAAAGGGGAGAGAGAGGAAAAAAAGGGGGGGGGGAGAGGGAGAAGGAGAGAGAGAGAGAGAGAGAGAGAGAGAGAGAGAGAAGGAGAGAGATGAGAGAGAGAGAAGAGAGGGAGAGAGAGAGAGAGAGAGAGAGAGAGAGAGAGAGCAAGAGAGAGAGAGAGAGAGAGAGAGAGAGAGAATCAAATCAAAGTTTATTGTTTGGCGTACACATTTTAGCAGGTGTTATAGTGGGCGCAGAGCAATGTTTATGTACTATAACTCCTAAATGTCAAACAATTAAAATGTAAGTGGCGGAGGTGTTGTTGCCTTCCCTCACCACCTGGGGTCGGCCCGTCAGGAAATCTAGGAACCAGTTCTACAGGGAGGAGTACAGACCCAGGGCACCGAGCTTAGGGCACTCCAAGCTAGTCAGAGAGAGAGCGAGAGGGACTCTGCTCATCGGATTGATCGACTGATGAGAGCACCATGGTAAGAGAGTGAGAGGAACCCGTTGTGGGAGGAGACAGACAGGCTTTTGTGTTAACTCACACACTGCAGGAGACACTGAGCCAGAAGGATGGCTATTCTGTTAACTCACACACTGTAGGAGACATTGAGCCAGAAGGATGGCTCTTGTGAAAACTCACACACTGCAGGAGACACTGAGCCAGAAGGATGGCTCTTCTGTTAACTCACACACTGCAGGAGACACTGAGCCATGTGCCCTCGCCTCCCGTGGGCTCTGGTTGTACTATAAAACCCATGAGTTTGGGTTAGAGTTAGGGTTATGAAACAGACACATGGGTACTATAGAGCAGACCATGTACCATGTATACAAACGGTCTATCAGATTAGAACGTATTATCTGGGTTTTCTCTTCATCAGTCATCATTGACATAGATGGCATTAGGCTATGCTACTCATGGTGTGATTGTGCTAACGTCCAGGAACTCAAGTCCTTTTGTTCTCCCAATCTGGAATACCTCACCATCAAATGTTGACCGCATTACCTCCCGTGAGAATTATCTTCAGTCATCATCACTGGCGTGTACATTCCCCCCCCCCCCCAAACCGACACCGCGACGGCTCTCAAGGAACTACACTGGACTTTGTGAAAACTGGAAACCGCATATCCTGAGGCCGCACTTACTGTAGCTGGGGATTTTAATAAAGGAAATCTGTGGAAAACTTTACTGAAGTTTTATCAACACATCTCCTGTGCTACTCGCACATTGAGCACTCTTGACCATTGCTACTCCCCCTTCCAGGATGGCAAATCAGATCACGCCTCCATTTTGCTCCTCCTATAGGCAGAAACTTCAACAGGAAGTACCCGTGGTAAGGACTGATCAATGTCAGTCTGTCTAATCGGAGTCTATGCTTCAAGATTGTTTTAATCACGCAGACTGGGATATATTCCGTCTGCGTATACACTGACTCAGTGACTGAGTTCATTTGGAAGTGCATAGAGGATGTTGTTGCCACTGTGATGATTAGAACTTATCCAAACCAAAAACCGTGGATAGATGGCCGCATTCATGCAAAACTGAAAGCGCGAACCACAGCATTTAACCACGGCAAGGTTTCTGGGAAGGTGGACGTGTACAAACAGACCAGCTATGACCTCTGAAAGGCAATTAGAGGCAAAACTACAGTACAGGGACAAAATGGAGTCTCAATTCAACGGCTCAGACACGAAACGTATGTGGCAGAGACTCCAGACAATCACTGACACCTTGCTCCCATACAAGCTAAATGCCTTCTTCACCTGCTTCGAGAAAAACACAGTACCGCCGCCGCGGGCCACCGCTGCTCACAAGGACTGCGAGCGTGTTAACCCTCGCAAGGTTGCCGGCCAAGAAGGCATCCCAAGCCGCTTCCTCATAGCATGTGCAGACCAACTGGCTGGAGTGTTTACGGAAACATGCAATCGCTCCCTATCCCAGTCTGTTGCATGCACAAGCATTTCACCACACCCGCAATAACATCTGCTAAACACGTGTATGTGACCAATAAAATTCGATTTGATTTGATTTGTTGTCCCCATTTGCTTCAAGATGTCCACCATTTTTCCTGTACCCAAGAAAGCAAAGGTAATTGAACTAAATGACTATTGCCTGGTAGCACTCACTTTTGTCATCATGAAGTGCTTTGAGAGGCTAGTTAAGGATCATATAACCTCCACCTTACGACACCCTAGACCAGGGGTCTTCAACAGATCAATCACGAAAGTACATTTAATCTTCACGCGTTCCACCGCAAACTGTCATAAACAAATTTCACAAGTATCAGACACCGCAAGCTCCCAGCTACTATCTAATCAACGCAACATTGACATTATCCCACCCCTGGTTAGCCACTATTGGTTTAAAAAGCCAAACTTAACACAATATCTGCCAATTAATTAACAGCAATATTGCCCCAGTCTGTCTGTGTGGTGAAGGCGTTTGTCTATCACTCCATGTGTAGCCAGTTGATGTGATAACCATCTTGTTGGTTGACAGAAATACTTTCCCCAAAACCTTCTCAATTATAGGTCAACAGCAAAGTAGGCTTACCTGGCAGAAGTATTTTGAGGGTGAAAAACTAAACAAAATGTACAACCAGGAAAAATAAAACTGAGAAAACATAATTACTGATTTTATAGGGCCCCCCTTAGAGTTGTTTATTAACCATTATGTTACCAAGTATATTGACAGAAAACATACTGCACTACTTTCTCTTATACCATGGCATTG